GGCCGCGCCGCCGCCCCCCCCCCGTCCCGCGCCTCCACGGCGAAGCGGATCTCGCGCACCTGCTCGTAGTCCAGGGCGCGCAGCGCATGCACCGCGCCGCTCTCCGCCTGCACCGACAGCCACGACGACAGCGGCGCGCCCTGCAGCTCGCCCTCCGCCAGCCAGTACGTCACCCGGGCGTTGTCGCCCCAGTCCGCGTCGGCCGCCCGCGCGCAGAACACCGAGGCGCCGCGGGCGTTGTTCTCGCTCACCCACACGCTGTAGGCCGCCTGGCTGAAGGCCGGCGCGTTGTCGTTCACGTCCGACACCTGCACCGCGATCGTCGTGGCGGACCACAGCGGCGGCGCCCCGCGGTCCCGGGCCGTGACCGTCACGTTGTAATCCGCCACCTGCTCCCGGTCCAGGTCTCTGGCCGTCACTAAAGTGTAATATTTATCCAAGGATTTCTGCAGCCGGAAGTGGTCCGGGATGGACCACATGATCTCCCCGTCCCTGCCAGAATCCCGATCCTCTAAATGTATTAACGCTACCAAAGTCCCTGGCGGGCTGTCTTCACTGATGGAGCTGACAGCAGAGGTGACTGTGATCTGGGGCGCGTTATCATTCACGTCGAGGACAGTCACCAGCACTTTTGCCCGGGCCCAGAGGTCTCCACTGTCCCTTGCCTGAACCTCCAATTCATAGACGGCCTCTTCCTCGTAGTCCAGAGTCCCCACCGTCACGATATCTCCCGTCCGAGAGTCCACCTGGAAGGTCTCAGACGCTTTGTCCTTCGTCTTCCGCAGCGAGTAGGCGACTGCAGCGTTGAGCTCCTCGTCCGCGTCCGTGGCGCTAACTGTGAGCAGCGCGGAGCCCACGGGCACGTTCTCCCGCACGCTCACGCGGTAGAGCGGCTGGCTGAACACGGGCGCGTTGTCATTGGCATCGAGCACCACCACGTGGATCCGCGCCGTGCCGGAGCGGACCGGATCTCCGCCGTCAGTGGCGGTGAGGATGAGGTCGTGAGCAGCCTGCTCTTCTCGGTCCAGGGGCTTCTCCAGCACCAACTCGGGGTATTTATCCCCAGCAGCTCCCGCTTGCACATGCAGAGAGAAGTGCTCGTTGCTGCTCAGCTGGTAGTCCCGGATAGAGTTAATCCCCACATCCGGATCCTGCGCCTCTTCCAGACTATACCGTGTTCCCACGGCAGTTGTCTCACTGATCCTGAACTCCAGCTTCCCCTCCTGGAAGCTCGGGGCATGGTCATTCACATCTGTGAGTTCGACTTCAGTTATGAAAACTTCCATTCTGTCCTCTGCGATAATCTCACAATTGATGACACACTTCTCGGCCCGGCCGCACAGCTGCTCCCTGTCTAGCCGCTCCGCCGTGATTAAATGGCCGCTCTTTACATTCAATGCGAAATACTGTGTCCTACCTGTGGAGACCACGCGCACGCCGCGCTCCGACAGCGCCTTGGCCTCCAGCCCCAGGTCCTGCGCGATGTTGCCCACGAAGGAGCCTTTCTGCATTTCCTCGGGGATCGAGTAGCGAATCTGCCCGGCCGCAGCGGCCCCGCACACGGTCAGCACCACGCAGCACAGCACGGCTCGCCCTGCACAGCGCCGCAGCCTTTGTGCTTTCGCCATTTCGAGTCCGTTTACTGATCGAAATTTGTCTTCTGGTCACCCAACCGCTCAGCTCTCAGTCCTTAGCCCCAGCAGTCCCTGGCCCTTAAAAGTTGCCGGTTTCTCGGAGTGTTTCTCAAGCGGAGCTCCCCTTGGAATCCGCCGGAGGGACCGTGCGCCTGCTCGTGATCTCTGTGACTGCGGCTCTGGGCTGCCTGGATTTCTCGGCGCATTTCCCTGCCTTGATTGGTGAACAGCGGCGCTCCGAGTTTCAACCAGTAATTGCAGTGGCTTACATAGATATTTCACTTCTTTTCTTCGTGTCCTCTATTTTCTTTTTCCGGTTTTAATATTTCCGTTTTCTAAAGATATAGTGTATTTTAATTATTTAAGTCTACTTATAAAATCTAATTTATTGTTCAAAACTAAATGTGAAATGTCTGTGAAATCATATGGTTGCACGGAAAATGAGACAGTAAGGAAGGAAATAGTATTTCCTAGTGTTCCTAGTGTTTAGCAGATCAGGAGGTGGAGGTATGGTTTATATTTATTCTTTTGGTGAACCCAGTCCAGGTCTCTAACTGCTTTGTTTTAGTTGCTATGTTTTATTTATTTCTCCGAGACTGAAAAACAGCTGGAAGAAAAGCAAAGGAAATATGAACAGGGAAGAGAGGGAGAGGCAACTGTAGGATAGACTCCCTCCCTTCTCCAGCTTCCGCTGCCTCCCCTAGCCGCTTGGGACAGAAAGAGGGAAAGATGGGGCGGGGCGGGGCGGCACAGTCTGTGGGGCTCAGGAAGTCTGTAGCTACGGGATCCGGGGGACTTGGCAACTTCCCGCGGCGGCGAGATGCCTGCATCGCGCAGGGTGGGAGGAATTCAGAACAGTGTTCGGGGCAGAGAAACTGGCATTGTGCAGCTCGGGTTTTCTGCCTTGCTGGCTGGTTATGATGGGGGGGACTCAAGTAACACAATGTGGAGGCAAGCAGCCCACTCACCATTTGAGCAGACGCCTGAGACCCCAGCCACTGAGAAGGGAGTCAGTCCTGCCACAGGATTTTTATACCTTTTACATACAAATATAATAAAAATGGATAAGCAGCTACATGATGGCCCTCTCCATAGACTGCCACCTTGACGGAGTGGAGATGACCCTAAGAGTAACACCAACTTGCTGGGGTCACCCATGGCAATAAGGTCAAGGGTGAGGTATGAAAAGAAGAGAAGTCCAGAACAACATAACATATAGACCTCAGGAGTGGAGTAGGTGAAAGAAGAAGGTATACTTCTGAATCGCTGCAGAAGCACATGAAGACTGCAGTGGAAGCGTAACCCCAGTCATCTTGGATCTCTTTGCCACTGGACACAGGTTTCTCCTCTGCCAAGATCCACGCAGTTGCTGAAGCCCAACAACCTCCTCATGTAAAATAAATCACACTCAGGCTTCTCTCACTAGATCCAACATCTACCACAATAACCAATCACCAATACCCATAACAACTAAAAAGTCCCACGGCAATGGATGAGTGGTGATGGGGACAGATAAAGTGATCACCAGGAGTCCTTAATCACAGATCCACATGCAGGTGGCAGTCACGTGTTCCTTGCTTCACCCTTGGAATGGGACAGGAGGGTGATTTTGCAACTGTGATCCTGACTGAGCAGTCCTTTTTAGGATGCCCTCTGTTCACCCTGCATGAGGAGGGGGCTAGAAAAGGTGCACGGAACATAGGCTGTCCCACCTTATCTTACCTGACTGGATAACCACTTCCGGAGGGAGGGAGGGGGGTGAGGTCACTGGAATTGTGGCTGAAACACAAAAATGTCCTTTCCATCCTGAAACGTACGAACCTTACTAGGTGACCCGAACAGTGACAGACTTGAACATAGAATAGCTGTTGTTGCCTGAAAACTCTCATGACACATCGATATCACTGCTCCCAGTGAGACCAGAGGTGCAGTCTGAAGTCACTGAGGGAGGAGGCGGGTAGCTATTTGTTCTTCTGGAAAGGGAAACCTGCAAACAACAGGCGAGCACACAGTGTTGGTTTTGCCATTAAGAACCAGACTGTTAACTGACCGATCAAATTCCCTGTTGGCATTAATGAGCACCTCATGACTCTCTGCCTCCAACTGATCAACAATTTGTTTGCTACCATCATCACTGCATATGCCCCAACACTTAATGCCAAGGAAGAACAGAAAGAACAGTTTTATGTTGACCTTGGTGAAATCCTATCATCCAGAAAGAGGATAAGATCATCCTCCTTGGCGATTTTAGTGTGAGAGCTGGTCGGATCTTGAACATGTATATGGGGAACCATTCGGAAGGACAGTAATGAGAAAAGTCAATTCCAACAGCATCCTCTTACTCAGCAAATGTACAGAGCTAACATTAGCTTCAGACATGACAGGTACAAAACAACATGGCGACCCACTTGAAACATTGGCATCTCCTCAACTATACCATTGTAAGAACATGTGATCCAGAAGCAGTTTATATCATGCATATTATGAGAGGAACGGACGACTGCTGACCTGATCATCACTTAGTTAAATCCATCAGGTCCATCAGGGTTGTGCTGAAACATTGAAAGCAACCCAAATCAGGCCAAAGCAGTACAACATCAGATGCCTTTAGACTCCTAGACACCTAAAAGCCCTCCAAACATATCTCAGAAAGAAACTTGCCAATTTTAGGATTGAAAATGGTAACACTTATGTTGAGGAAGAATGACATGAAGAAAACAATCCATGAGGCTTGCATGGAATCAATTAACTTTATCACCTGGCATCATCAGGACTAGTTTGATGGAAACAGAGGAAAGCTTTCTGTGGCAAAACCATCCTATGTGCAGGCAGGAGCAGGGAACTTTTTGACAGTTTAGAGCTGAAGCTGAGACGAAGATACAAGAAATCAAAAACTAATGTTGGGAAGAGAAGGCAAAAGAAATCCAACAGTTTGTTGACAATCATGACATGCAGAACTTCTTCAGACCAGTTGAGGTTGTGTGCAGACCAAGTTTTTTTGGACTCACCAACCTAGAAATGAAGACGGCAGCACACTCCTCAAATACGAGTCCATCAAAAACTGCTGGAGTGAGCACTACCAGAAGCTCCTGAACCAAGAATTGAGGGTGACTGATGAAACCATGGAATACATCCCATAGCATCCAGTAAGGGAAACACTTGCCAGTCCACCAGCCTCTGAAGAAGTCTGCCAGTTGGTAAGACTGGATGAAGAACAACAAAGCATCTGACCCTAATGGCATACCAGCTGAGGTCTTTGAAGTTGGTGGGGAAAATATGACCAACAAGCTCCACACACTGTTTTTCAAAATATGGGACACTGAGGAAATTCCCACTGACCTAAAGAATCCCAATATTGTCACCATTTCTAAAAATGGATATAAGTCTTTGTGGAAACTATCAAGGTATTGCCCTCCTCTCTATCGCTGGGAAGCTCCTCGGTCAAATTTTGCAGAACCAAATTTTGCAGAACCTCTTGCCAACGAAATGCTTCCTGAGTCTCAGTGTGGTTTCAGAGCATTGCGAGGAACCATGGACATGATTTTTGTGACCCAGAAGATCCAGGAAAAATGCCAAGAACAACATCGGGAACTTTATATGGCCTTTTTCAATTTGACCAAAGCCTTTGACTCTGTAACTGTGAGGCTCTATGGGAGATTTTATGGAAGTTTGGTTCCCCAGATAAATTTATCATCACCACCCTAAGACCCGATCCTTTCATGTCCAGATCACTGCCTCCCATCTTACGCACTGGCTCTGTTATGGAGCCCTTTGTCACTCGAACTGGCAGCAAGGGGGTTGCGTGATCACACCAATTTTTTCTTCCATCTTTGTTGTGGTCATCCAGATGCTCATCTGTAACTGCCTGCCACATAGCATCAGCATCAAGTACAGGATGGATGGGAGGATGGGAAACATTTCAATTTCTCCCTCCTCTTTGCCAAAACCAAAGTTACATGGGCCTTAACTGTGGAACTTCAGTACCCCAATGATTGTGCTGTCATTGCACATTTGGAGGAGGATGTACAAATGGCCCTTCAGTGCTTCTCTCCAGCAAATCAGTGCCTGGGATGACCCTTAACATTGGAAAAACAAAGGTGCTTCATTTATTTTAATGTGCATTACAGCTTCACTTGAAAAAAACCGCATGTTATTTAGAGTTAATGCACATTAAAATAGGCTAATGGGCTTTAAGCATCACTTAAAAACTGTGCTCTTCAGTTAATGTGCATTAAGACAAGCTAATGTGAATTTTCTTAGTCCCTCACAATGAGGGTATTTGTACACATGTTTGTGCTGTAGCATCGGCTGCTTTTAAAAGTCTTTGGGATTATTTAGAACAAATAAGGTGCTGCTTACTTGTGGGAGAAGATAGCTATTATGTGGCATGTTAAAGATGGCAGGGAAGAAATCGGGGCTACACAGGAAATCCTGGCACTGTTAGTGAGGTGGAAGAGCCATCATAAAATGTCATACCTTCTGCATTTGTACAATAACCAAACCCCAGAGCAGTCTCATAAGTGAAGAATCATTTTTCACTGTGTTCAATCCTGAGGTTTGGTGGAATGATTGTGCGTACAGTATACTTGAAAACTAACCTTAAATGTCACCGATCACAAAGGCTGAGTGAAAAGATTTGGAAGCCTTTTTAATTTACAATATTTTCTCACATACAACACACCCCTCTTCTCCAAAAATCACACTCCCCCCCCCCCAAAAAAAAAATTAGGGTGCATGTATTAAGGGGGGAAGCTGATTTTATGTCTGGTTTGGAAGCGTCCTGCTTTGATTCCAGCTCCGCAGTGCAGCAGCTGTGACATTATTCAAGTTGCTGAGTGAATCGTGGTGAAGGGGATATAACAGTAGGATTCTACTACAGACCTCCTAATCAAGAGCAAGAGCCAGGGAACTGGCTGAGGCTGCACGCTCTCAGTGTACGGTTGTCATGGGTGATTTTAACTACCCTGACATCTCATGGGAAGAGCACTTAGACA